AGAGGGAGAAGCAGGCTCCCCGCCGAGCAGGGAGACCGATGCGGGACTCGATCCTGGGACTCCAGGATCATGACCTGAGCCGAAGGCAGTCGCTTAACCGACTGAGCCACCCAGGCGCCCCCCATCTTTACCTAAATTTGAAATCAAAGCACGACTGGCTCCCTAGCATGGGTTGGAAAGTATGCCCTTCTCTCCTCTTTTCTGGAAGAGACTATGTAAAATTGATGCTAATTCTTGTTTAAACATTTGCTAGAATTCTCCAGTGAAATCATCTGGACCTAAAGAACGTATTTTTTTTTCCTTTTTTTTTTTTAAATTTAAATTCAATTAGCCAACACATTAGTTTCAGATGTAGTGTTCAGTAATTCATCAGTTGTGTATCACACCCAGCTGGGCCTAGGGAATTTACGTTGAGTTTATGAATGCCATGTGGTTCACAATGGACTTGGTAAGTTTTGAACGGGAACCAAACCATGGAGCAACAGCTCCCAGGCCCTTGTCACAAGGGGAGGGCAAAGAACACAGGTTTCTTGGGATGGAATCCACCACACCTGTCAAAGTCCTAGCCCTGTCTAAGTCTGGGATGTTATGTCGCCCTACCCTGGATGCCTAAGGTTTTCTCTGACGTGTCCACGCCAGAGGAAGAAGAGAATTGTGGCGAGAGCCCAGCCACCTGATGGGCTGGTGTGTTAGGCTCCCAGAAACCCACAGCTGCAGCCACAGCTGGCCCTGCTTCTCACCCCGGGGGCCACGACACACTTCTACGAGGTGGCTTCGCAACAACGCTGCGGCCTGGCCAGCCTCTCATGGACACAGAGGGCTGAGGTCCTCTGGTCCCAGGGGGCTGCGTTAGCAGGGTCTCCACGTGTTCCTTTCTGCTCTCTCTTCCGCCAGTGTTCAGAGTCCAGCAACCTGGGCTCCCAGGATGGACGGGGGCTCTGGGAGGAGACCCTAATTCCATCCGTCTCCCAAGATTGTCCGTGGCCTGAGTACAGCCCGTCATGACATTCCCTTATTTATCATCCCTGCTGAAGTGTGGTTCCCGGTGTCTGCTTAATGGACCTCTCCTTCCCCCAAGTTCTTCTTATGACTTCCGCATCATCCTCATCTTGGACAACCGCCAGGTCTGACTCAGAGGCCTTGGGTTGACCCCAGGGGAGAGAGGAAGCCTGCTGATTCCATGAAAGGGCAAATGAGGCGGCCTGCTGTAATTAGGTAGCCAGGCATCGAGGGAATGTGCTAGCTCCAAAAATATCTGCCCGCTGAGGACCAATCAGCACCTTGGCCGTGACCCTGCGTCAATGAGCAATCATGATGCTGCCTGCAAGGGCTCCCCAGGGGGGAGGCAGCAGCTGTCCTTCCATTGGCCCATGCTTGGCACACGGACAGCTGCTGTCCACGGCGGACAGAGGGGCCAAGAGATAAGAGTCAAGTTTCCAAAAGCCACATCTGCATGGACGGACACAAGGAAGGGGAAAGAAAACTCTTCTAACCGGGTCTGGAACTCACTAAAGCCAAGTGCTAACCATCTGCCTCGTGAAAAGAATAAGGTGACTCTCGTTGTACCAACATGGGCCACTTGCTAAAATAAAAGCTAAGTGAAAAAGACAAGTTGCAAAACGGTGGACACACTCTACAAAGGAGCTCCACAAAGGGGCTCTGGCCATGGACCCACAGTCCCGACCCCTTCTTCCTTGCTGTGAGGCCTTGGGCAAGTTACTGGTCCTCTCCCTGCCTCAGGTTCCTCATCTGAATCAAAGTGATGATAACACTAGTGACCTGGCAGGGTTGTAAAGATTTAAATGATCTCGTACTTGCACAGAGCTTCTCCCAGTGTCTGCCTGTGGCTATAATGCACTGTAAATGTGACCAACATTAAATACATTCATGCTCATACTGGCAATAGATTATCTCTAGAACTGGTAAGTAGTTGCCTGTGGGTGGAGGAAATGGATATCTGGGGACGGGAGTAAGAGGGAGACTTATTCACCCCTATTTCCCTCTCTAATCCTTGGGATACTGTACTGTGTGCATCCGTTGCCCATTCAAAACATATAACAGGAACCTCAAATGAAGGCTTAGAATCTTATAACAACTAGAGAAATGTATGGGAAGTGGGTACAAAGGGCAGAGGGGGGATGGACACTTCTAAATCTCAGAGCCAGGAGCAAAGGAGAGCTTGGAACAGGGGAAAGAAGGGGAACCGCGAAGCCCCATGTCACACGGGGGGGCGAGGATTGTTCCCTTGGGCCCTGCAGGACTGAGGCATCCGAGCCTACGCCAAGTTGCAAACAACATCCCAGGGCCCCAGGTGTGCACATGAGTCCTGCGTCTGCTGGTTTCCAGGGGCTGGCGACATGCAGGATGGACATGTTCTCCTGCTTGTGTGGCAGGAACACTTCTCCGGGCTGCCTCTGAGTCCCCTCCAAAGGGACAAACTGATTTATTCCTGTCACTTTCCAGAAAAAAGGACAGGGCGCCTGGGTGGCTCAGTTGGTTGGGCGACTGCCTTCGGCTCGGGTCATGATCCCGGGGTCCTGGGATCGAGTCCCGCATCGGGCTCCCGGCTCGTCGGAGAGCCTGCTTCTCCCTCTCCCACTCCCCCTGCTTGTGTTCCCTCTCTCGCTGTGTCTCTCTCTGTCAAATGAATAAATTAAATCTTTAAAAAAAAAAACAGAAAAAAGGACAACGTTTGGTTTATAAGGATTTATAAATGAAGTTAACTAAATAACAGCATATGAGATTTATATACTTCCTGCGGAGTATTATTATTATGTCCATTTTAGGATGAGAAAGTGAACGCTCAGAGTGGTTCAATCATTTGCCCGAGGTCACACAGCTGGGAAATGCCAGGGCCAGGTTTTCAGACCCAGTGGTAAACCAGTTCCTCCCAGTTCCTAGCACAGTGGCTGGCAAAGAGTGGCCACAGACAGCTGAGTGAATAAGGAATGACAGAAGGTGCCATCCATCAGAGGCCCGGCTAAGAAACTCCGAAAGCCATCCACAGATGGCCCAGCATTATCTCCAGTCCTTCAGGCCTTTTGGACTAGACTTTGCAGCAACTCCCATCAAGAGGTGGAGCCTAGTTCCCACCTCTTGACCTTGGGCTGGCCCCGCGACCACTCTGGCCCATGGAACGCAGCAGAAGCGGTGTTCCGGGACATCCAGCTGGGCACTACCCACTTCCTTCCTCTGGGAGTCCAGCCACTGTGCCGTGAGGAAGTCCAAGCAGATCCAAGCCCACAGGGAGCGAGGCCCTGGCGGCTGAGGGACCTCCCTCCCCAGACAGGTAACCTCAGTCTGCACGACATCAACCAGAACCTCCCAGCAGAGACCAGCTGACCCCCAGAGCTTGAGGGACTAGCACACTGTTGTTTGAAACCACTTAACCTTAGGGTGCTTTGACATGCAGTAAGAGAGCAAAGAAACAGCTCTTCTGTTGCCAAGGATCCTCCTGGAGCGAGGCACGCTTGCCTAGACGTTCTAAGGACAGCTGGCCACATCCCTCCGGCACCCCAGCTCTGGGCTGCCCTGGAGAGGAAAAGCAGGTCTGTGGTTCTGCTCCACGGGGACAGTTCAACCTCCTGCTGGGGGTCTGAGCTCCACCTGCGTTTAGCTTGTGTGCCACAGGAGGGCTCAAACGTTGGGGGTGCTGAGGGAAAGACGGTAGCAGAGAGCAGAGCATGGTGTTTCTTTGGAGAAGGCTTCCCCTTTGTGGCACCGTCCTGGCTCCACAGTGAGGTTGAGTGGGAGAACAGGAAAAGCAAGCAAAGTGGGGATACCGAGGCAGGAGCCCCCTGCCACTCTGCTGTAATAAATGACTACAAACCAGATGACATAAAACAACACATACTTCTCATCTTACAGTTCTGGAGCTCAGAAGACCACAATCGGTCTCAGAGGACTAAAAGACGGTGCGGAGCTATGTATGGTCTGGAGGTTCCAGGGGAGAATCCGTGCCTTGACCTTCCTGGCTTCTAGACGCTTGCGGCCGTACTGCTCCAATCTCTGCTTCTACCATCACATCTCCTTCTCGGGGCCCTCCTGCCTCCTCGTGGACATCTGCGCCCCTCCCACTTAACCCAGGATCTCTCTCCACGTCCAGGTGCTCAGCTGATTAACATCCGCAAAGCCTCTTTTGCCACGTAAGGTAACATAGTCACAGGCTGCATGAACTAGGACGTGGACACCTCTGGGGGGTCATTATTCCGCCAACCAGGTGGTGGGAAGTCGCTCATTCACCCGCTCAGTGCGTAGTTTTGAACACCTACCACTATGGGCCAGGTCCTGTGTTGGATGGTGCTGGGGCTGCAGCGACCCCCAGGGCTGTGCATGGATGAACTCAGTCATTCTTCACAGGAGCGCTATGAGGTAGAGCCTTTACTGTTATTATTCCACAATACCAAGAGGGAAACTGAGGCACAGAGCCATTCAACAACCTACCCATGCTTACAGAGCTAATAAGTGACAAAGAGCATCAGTCAGGGCCTCAACCAGGAACAGATGGCACCCTCAAATTAGGATAATCACGGAGGCTTTATTTGCAAGGAGCTGTTTACAAAGGTATAGGGAGCTGTAGGGGAACCTCAAGGGATCACGCAGGAACCCTGGGTTCAGAGCAGGGAGCTGTCACCACCCACAGCAACCCTGGGATGACAGAGTCGTGTGGAGGCTGCCTCAAGGGAAGTGACATCGGAATGAGGAGGACCTCACAGGGAGGTGGCCAGGGGAATATATTCACTGAGCTTCTTCTCTCTCTTCCCCTGATCTCCTGTGGGGGAGGTCCCCATTGGCTGCATCCAACCACAGCCAGAGAGTGAGAGAGGGTAGGATCAGAGGGAAACAGAAGACAGCACACCTCAGAACTGGGTGTCTATGCTTTGAACATCGCGAACAGCCCAGCCTCTCATCTTGTGGGTCCTGGTTCAGCCTAACCACAAGGCAGGCTGCTCCTCACCCTGGTGAGTCCCAGGCTCAGGGTGACATCAGGGCTTGATGACCTCATAGGATAGATGGACAGCCTTAAAATGCTGGCCTTGATGATCCTATCTCTAGGATTCTATCCTAAGGATGCTAAAGCCCATGGTACTTGGGATTCCTTTAATTCTCTACTAAGGAGGGCTGACCCACTGCCCATAAGCATGCGCACAGGGGTTACAAACAGAGTACTGTGGCCCAGGGGGCTTCAACAACAGACATTTATTGCCCACAGCCCTGGAGAAGGGAGTCAGGAGGTTTGGTTTCTTGGCCTTTGCCCCCTTGAGCTCGGCCAGGTAACCCCAGGGGACAGACATCCTTGAGACCAAAGGCAAAAACTGATGCAAAAGGCCACAATCTTATCACTACCTTGGGATCAGGTAGGAGTTCTTGATCGTCGGCAACTGTGAATGACTCAGGTGAGACAGAGCCTCCCGGACCCTGCTGTTCCAGTGGTGGGCTATGCAGAGGGAACAGAAGATGTGTGTCCAACAAAGTAGATCTGCCCCATCCCAGACTAAAACCGCGATGTCAGCATCCAACTGACCACTGCAAGGCTTCAGTGTCTGCCCTGTTTTCCAGCACTGTTCTGGACGCCCTCTCTTCTCCCCCTTTATCCACTCAGTGCCATCAGCTAGAGAAAAGTAAGCCAATGGGCCAGGGCAACGCAGGAAGTGGAGGGAGACACCCCCACACCATCTCCCACTGCCTTCAGGTCACCTGCCCCGGCTCCCTCCTGACAGGCTCTCTGAGGATCGCTCACTCGTTCAGGCCAGTCGCTGACGCCACACCATATCCCCCTGCTCCGTAATGTTCAGTCTTGTACTGTTTTAGTCCATTTCCCAAACACATCTCCCATCTTCCCGAACGATGCCATGGGAACTCCCCCTTTCTTTCTTTCCAGTGCCCCCTCCAAGCCATTTCCTCTGCAGGTTCCTGATTCCCCAGTGTTTTGGGCTGAATGGTGTCCCCCCCCCCCAATTCCTATGTTGAAGCCCTAGCCCCCCGTGCCTCACAGTGTGGCTGTGTTTGGAGGCGAGGTCTTTAAAGATGTGCTCATGTTCGAATGAGGCTTGTGTTCAAATTAGAGTGGCCCTAATCCCATCTGACTGGCGTCCCGAGAAGAAGGGGAGGCAAGGACACGCAGAGAGACCCCAGGAACACTTGTGCACAGGAAGGCCACACGAAGACACAGCGAGAAAGTGCCACCTGCAGGCCGAGGAGAGAGGCCTCCGGAGAAACCAAACCTCCTGACTCCCTTCTCCAGGGCTGTGGGCAATAAATGTCTGTTGGTGAAGCCCCCTGGGCCACAGTACTCCGATTGGGCAGTCCTAGCAAACTAATACACGCACTCGAAGCAGACTTGACTTCTGCCTCGGCCTGCCCACCAGACTTCCTGTAAATGTCTGCTGTGTCCCCCTCGGGTGTTAAGGTGGCTGTCTGCTTTCACACCCACCTCCCCCCGAGAGACTGGGGACTCCTCAAGGCCCGCATCTAGGTCTTTGCTGTCCCAACCACCCCAAATGGCTGGTGCCAGGGGGTTAACCGAGATGACACATGTCAAACCCTCCGCGAAAAGCTTCGAGGGCTAAGTGCCCCGCAAATTCGGACCCTTGGGTTATTACTTACCTGTCCGTGCCCACAGCACAACAGGTGCTCCCGAGGAACTGCTATACTGAGCTGAAAGGCAGGCTGTGAGCAACTGAACAGGCACGCAGACAATGGCCAGGCCACATATAAAAACAGCACTCGGACCCACACCCTGCAGCCCCCTTGCCCAGGGAGCCAACCCATCCGCTGTGGGAACTGGCCCAGGAGGCCAGTCTGCTCTCGCTCACACTTGCAGGGACTCAGACGGCAGTCTCTATGGACGGTCCAGTTAGCCAAATATGACTCCCGTAACAATCGGCCCCAAATGGCCAGGACTTGATTACCAACGGACAGCTTCGGGTCGACTGGAGAAAGCCAAAAGGCACCCTAACCAATTACACAGGATGCCCGCTGCGAACTGGCCCGCCTCCAGCTCCCCCCTCCCCGCCAGCGGGGCACAGCCTTCCCTTTTATCCCACTCCTCTGCCTGCCTTTGAGTCTCTGCCAGACCCCGGTGACAGCTGCCGGCTACCCCCCACCAACTAGAGCCGGTTCTGAATAAACAGCCTCTGCTTCTCAGCTGGGTGGCTTTTGTGGATCTCCACAGGTGTGCAGGCCCCGGACACGGTCATGAGAAGAGCTGACTGACTCGTATCGGGAGGAAGTAGGGAGACAGACACCCGAGAGAAGAGGGGACAGAAGAGCCGGAGTCAGACAATGAGACGCACTCCACAGGGCGTGCCTGCCCTTCGCACAGATTCCACCGGTGCCACGGGCTTTCTCGTGTTTTGCTTTCTTCTAGAACCCGGGTGAAGGGCATCCAGGGCATGGAATCATTTAAAGATGACCCAACTCCGAGGGGGCCATAAGCCCAGCAGAAGCCAGTCCCCAGGGCGCCCACCGGAGACAATGTGGCAGGTGGGGAGGAGGCAGACACGGCGTTCCCCCCAGCAGCAAGGCAGTCCTCCTCCTCCATCAAGAGCCAAGCAGAGGAAGCTGGCAAGCCAGCAAAGCCTTATTCAAGCTTCCCTTTCACACATAAAAGGAGAGGGTTTTTCAACTTGAAAGAGAAACCACAAATCCAGGCTGGGGCCCAGAGCCATGGCTCCAGGAGCCAGGTGCGGCTCTCAGCCCCAGCCCCTCCCTGCCCCGGTCCCCAGCCCACCACCAGCTCCTGCTGTCACCACCTCTGTGAGGTCCAATTGCTGCATACAGCACAGCTTTCCTTTTGTGATCCGGGGCCCCGTGGGGGAGTCAGGAGCCGCCAGCCACAGGGAGGGAGGGCCAACTGCATCCTTCAATGGACCTCTGATGGGAAGGGTATTATGATAAACACATTTCCGTAGCGAAGGCACAAATGCGCAGGGCTCCATATGCATTTCTCTGGCATGTGTCACCGTGCCCCCTGGAGAGGGCCTACTTATCCATCCACCAAGGCGCTGCCAAATGTCAAGTCCTTTGAAAGCCCTTGCTTTCCATACCCACCCGCTGCCCACGCCACTTGCAGGGAACATGAAGTTTCCTTCCTGGCGGCCTCAGCATGCCCTCCACACCAGCATCACAGGACTTGGTGCTGTGGACAAGTCCGTTCAGAGACCCTGGGCTGCTTGAGGGACGGACCTGGTCTACCAGTCTCTGTTCCTCAGCCTCCAGATAGACGTCTGGAATACGGCAGGTGCTCAAGGAAAAGCTGAATGAAGGAGAGCACAAATGAATGCTCGTGCTACCTGACTGCCCTTCCTGCAGCACCCACCATGCATTTTCGATCTTTCTACTCTCGTCTGGGAAGCAAACATGTCGAGGGGACCCATGGGCTACCGCAGGTGGCCTGGAAAGGCAGCCCTGGCCCACGTGGTGGACGTGGGTGTGTGGCTCCGAGATGTTTGACAAGCCTCCTCTCCCTAACCTTCCTTTTCCATCCACGAAAAGCCATGGCAGAGACAGCTCTGATAGATTACGGGAGATTCTTCCAGCTGATGGCTCATGGGCTAAATCGACCATGCAAGAGTTTCATCGGCTTCCAGATTATATAAAAATTGATACAATCCCCATTAAACCCCTCTCTCTAGTTCTACTGAATAAAACAGAACACTCCTGTGGCGTATCTGGCTGAAGCTGAGCAGGGCACGTTTTAGTTTGCCGCAGTCCCCACCAGTCTCACGCCCAGATGCTCTTCACTCACATGCTAGTCTCTTAGGTATTCGCGTCTATAACCCGAGCCATGGCCTCAACCTCAGCACTTCAGCATGCCTGGAATAGGTTTTAAAAGACAATCACCAGGCCCATACTCAGACATTCTGACTCAACTGGTCTTGGGGTGGAGCTAAGGCAACTATGTTTGTAGACAAGTGCCCCAGATGATTCTAATTTCCGCCAGGGCTGAGCGCTGTGGTCCATGGGCCCTGCTGGCTGTGAGGGCCCATCTCATCCATGCAGAGAAGCAGCCACGAGAAAAGGACGGATGGGAAAATTAGCCTGGTTGAAAGTGCCCACGGTGCCCTAGGGAGCCAAGGGCTGCCCTAGGACCCCTCACCGCCCCGTGGTTTAGGCACCAAAGCAGCAAGCCCTGTGAGCGTCACTCAGAAATGACTCTGCAGACCAATCCTTCCTCCTTGGCCCGCGCGCTTGCAGCTAGCCGGTGGCCTTTCCAGGTCTGCCTGTAGCTTGCTTGTCCCTGGGCTGCGTTTGCCAATTCACGCCTCCCTCTCCACTCGGGGCTCTGCCCGATGCCCTCACCTCCCCTAGGATGCCAAAAATCGACCGTGTGAGCTATGTCTGTGCACGTCCCTCCTACTGCATCAGCATTTGACTTACTCGTTTCTCTAAACAGGCCCTGAGACCTGTTTCATGCCCCTAGCAGATAGAATTCCAGAAGGCACGACTCGCCTTTCCTATGCCCCCTGTGCCCTCCCCAATTCCCCCACCCATGGCTCACTGAGCGGCAGGGGACTCTCTTGGAAGGGTAGAGGGGCTGCTCTATGGAGAGGGGACGGGCACTGTGGTGGCCACTGCATCTAGCTCGCCCAGCTGGAGAAGCCATTTCAAGAGAATCCACAGTGCTCACCTGCCTGTCACCTGCCTGTCACCTGCCCGTCGCCCAGCCAAGCACCTTTGTCCACTTGCTGTGTGTGCTCAGGACAGCAAACTCCAACCTCCCCAGTGCCTGTCACTCCTGACCCAAGCAAGCAGCGTGGGAAACCTGGGCCAGGGTGGCGGGGTAGGAAGGGGGCTTGTTCAAGCCTACTGAGAAATAACTCCTTGTGGGCCTCGGGACCCCACAAAGTCCACCGGTCTGTTCTGAACAAGACAATCACCCCTGAACCCACACCCTTGACCATCAGTCAATCTGATTCACAACGAGCTAGAGGGAGGAGCAACAAGTAGAGACCTCCAGGCCGTAGAAAGGACACAGGTCCAGCCTTGGAGCCTCCCTCGGGAATGATTTCCCAAGTCTAGCTGACCCGACCCTGGCCCCAGTGGACACTGTCCACACAGGGCTGGCGTCTGAAGGCCGAGGGCTGGCCATGCCCTCCCAGCTGGGCTGAGCGGGGCCTACCTTGGAGCTGACAGAACGTGGTCATAAACTTGCTGGTGAGGGACTTGAGCTCATTGTTAGCCAGCGTGATGAGGTGGATCTGGTCGGTGACATTCCGCAGGACCTTGTAGATGCCAATGGGGAAGGAAACCAGCTTGCACTCAGCCAGATCTGCAGCCAGAGAACAGAGACAGAGCACAGTTAGCCACAGCTCCTTGGGGACTCGCCCCACACCGCATAGCCCCCGACCCTGCCTCTGCTCCCCACCTCCTTTCTCTCTCACCTGTCTCCCCTGTGCCAGGCTCGAAAGCCCGCCCTCCCTCTTCCGAGAGCCCTCATCACCATGGGTCACACCGGTCCCTCTCTTGCACCCTGAACCCGTGGCTTTGGCGCAGCACCTTGTCTGGGAGCACGGCCTAGGAGCTCAAGTACAGCAGGGGTGGCTGTGCCCACTCAGGACAACGGGCACTCACGGCAGTGTCCTTGAGCCCCTGCTGAGTCCGCCCTCTGCGGTCACCGAAGACTCCACGGTGAGGCCGCCATCTCAACACTACTCTGTAACAGTCGCCTTGAAAAACAGGCTGTTCACACAGACTTCGTGGTCTGCCCTTCTTCCCAGCCCTGTCACTCCGAAGGCAAGCCTGCGTCAGAGGCAGCCGGGAGGCCGCCGTGGGGCACAGTCTGGCCGTTTCCCCAGAGGGTAAGCCTGGCATTACCCCATGACCCAGCAATTCCACTTGTAGGGGTATACCGGAGAGAACTGAAAACACATCACACGGGGGCCTTCACTGCCGCATTACTCACAACACTCCAACGTGCAAACAACCCACCCGTCCATCCGCAGACCGAGTGGATAAGCAAAATGTGGTATTATCCATCAAAAAGAATATTGTTTGGGGCCCCTGGGTGGCTCAGTCGGTTAAGCGTCTGCCTTCGGCTCAGGTTATGATCCCAGGGTCCTGGGATCGAGTCCCGAATCTGGCTCCTGCTCAGCGGGGAGCCTGCTTCTCCCTCTACCTGCCGCTCCCCCTGCTTGTGCTCTCTCTCTCTCTCTGACAGATAAATAAAAATCTTAAAAAAAAAAAAAAAGAATATTGTTGGCCATAAAAAGAAGCAAAGTACCAATACATGCTACAGTGTGTATAAACCTTGAAAACAGGATGCTCAGTGGCAGAAGCCAGTCCCAAACGTATTTTATGAGGCCACTGACATGAAATGTCCAGAGCAGGCGCATGTCTAGACACGGAAGGCAGGGTAGTGGTTGCCTAGGGCTGGGCAGCTCAGGGGTGGGGGCTCTAAAACTGGATGGTGATGATAGTTGCATGACTCTGGGAATATATTAAAACTGCTGAATTGTCCACTTGAAGTGGGTGAATTGTATGGTATGTGAGTTCTATCTGGAGAAAGCAATTGTGTACCTAGGACAGCACGGCCGCACTGAAGGCATGGAAGCTCAGAAACTAGGCTCTCCAGCTACGCTAAGTCACTTAAAGTCCCTGAGCCTCAGTTTCCTCATCTGCAGAACAGGGGTACCACTACCATCTACCGAGCAGAGCGGTCAGGAAAATTAAATATGAAAAGTATTAAATGTGCCTGGCAGGTGCACAGCGGGGATGGGGATGCTGTTTCTCTCCGCCTCTTCCACTTGACCCTCCCCTTCCCACTCTACCCACATCCTCTCCATGCTTCAAGGCCAGCTCCCAACGCATCTCTTTGGAAATTTTCCTGGATCATCCCCA